TCTCTCTGGTTCAGCGATGGTCGGTCTTTCTTACAACGTGCAAACCTATTGACACTTCTTTACTCGGGCAAAATTTTCTATTCGTAGCGGACAAGGAATTCACCTTACTGTGCTTCGATATAACCAGCCGAAAACAGGTAGCAGGTCGATAACTTCTGAATATTAGGGACAGCATCTAGTTCTAGTGTGGCATTTCTATCTGGTATGTTCATCATCTGACTGCATTCATGATAGCTGACTGAAAATCAGCATAAGATGTAAATTGAGATTTAATTTAAATCGTCGAAATGGTCATTCATAGGTCTGTTGCTTAACGTGCACATTGAAACTATGCTCTTAAGTGATTAATGAGAATCAAAACGTTTCAAATTTAAATCACCAAAAAAAACCATCCGCCCGTTTCGCACCCATGTGGTATGCCGCGGTTAAAGCGTTAATTTATGGTCGGAGAAGCAAATTCATCGTGTCACAGTCAGCTGGTTGGAGGTAAGAGATTGACGTAGCAGTTGGCACATGAATATGTTCACCATCGAAGTGCAGAAGAAGTTGAAGACTGCGCGGAAGCGCTATTAAATGCGGCATTTTTTGTCCATGTCGACAAGAAGCAACTTTAGACGCGAATTTTTGAAGCGAATGTGAGCAATCGCTTTTCGATGCAACACGAAATGGCATAGGAAATTAGCCTGTTTATGGGTGGGTGCTTTCTTGACGCTATATCCAGCGTTTTCTGCGCCGCTAAGCGTAGGGAAAATTAGAAAACTAACTGGAACTTGCCTTTCAGCAAGCTATGGATCAATTGCGCCGTTTTGATTCTAGCCGTAGTACATGCATAATTGCAGACAGGTAATCGAATTTTAATCTTAGTCATTCTTGAAGTAAAGAACAGGTGGAAACAGCTTTTTCATGTTAAGTAAATTCGCAAATTCACTTAATGCTTTTGGGTTTTTTTAATTACTCATAATTTGTCTTCCTCTGATGGCGTTTTTCTGGAAGCTCCATAAAAAAACTTGGCTGTATTTCTGACGGGCAAAACACCTAAATTACGGCATGAGAATTTCTGAAACCTTGTAAACTAAGGCACTACCTTATTTTCTTAGAGCATATTCCTAAAAACGTATGTGATGACTCGTATCATCGTTGCCTCATTTGTAAAATCAGCGGTGAATTCGAAATCTGGGTTATACTTCATAATGATTATTACACGTGATAGATGTCAGGTGTGTCAAAGCGAAGTGCATCTCCACAAGAGGTGCTCACGTCGTACAGCATGGCCGTACACCTCGTCCACTCGAGATGATGACACCATAAACCATGCTGTCTCTATTATTCGCAAATTGACAATTTACTACCCGTTTTTCAGCTGGTTGCGCCGAAACAACGTAGGGTTAATTCCTTGTTCACGTGAATTCGCGGTGAAGGCAAAGATTGTTCTTTCAGCAGATTCGAAATTATCATCTCAGGAGTTGAAAGCTGACTTTTTAGTCACTGTGCCACCTCGTTCCCAAAAAATTCGTAATTTTTCGAGGAAATTTGCCAATCATCCTTGCGCAGGGGCCATAATAATCATCTCTGTATCGCTCCAATGGAATAAACTGATAATCTTGATAGTAAATGTTGAAGAAACTTCGTTTCTACAGCGATTCAGAAAGCGCGCATCGCATAAGTATATAAACAACGTAATCAAGTTGAAGCTAGTTCTGGTACTGGAGGAACGGCAAAAGTACTAAAAACGGCTGACCATGCAGAACTGACAGCATTTTTTACGATTCCTCACTGAAAATTTAATTGAATATCTATTCTCTGCCTGGCAAAATGAAATTAGCCACATGGCTTAGAACTCTGAACTTGGAATTCCAGGAGGACAACGTTGGAAGACAAAATCCATTTTTTCTTTGACGGATTTTGGACATTTCAAACAGCGTTGTCTG